GGGGACAGCCTGGTGACACTGCCCACAGCCACCCTCCCTGGGCTGACACCACCGTGGGGACCGAGGGAGATCCCAGGATAAAAAAGGGAAATCCCAGGATGAAAAACAAAAAGAGACCCCAAAATAAAAAAGGGAAATCCCAGGATGAAGGAGGGACATCCTAGGATTAAAGACAGATGTCCTGGAATAAACGAGGGAGATCACAGAGAATAAAAAAGAGATCCCCAGGATCAAGGACAGGTCCCAGGGTCAAAGACAGATCCCAGAATTAAGGACGATTCCACAATTAACAAAGATCCCAGGGTCAAGGACAGGTCCCACAGGTCCCGGACAGGACCAAGGACAGACCCCAGACCAAGGACAGACCCCAGGACCCAGGAGAGGTCCCAGAACATTCCGGAAGCCCCGGAGCTGCCTCACCCACTCCAGCAGGTGCCGCACGGTCTCGATCTCCCCGAAAGCCGCAGCCCAGATCAGGGGGGTGAAGCCTCTCTCGTCGGGTTTGTTCACCAAATTCTCACCTGGGGAGGGGACCACAGCCAGGTGAGCCCCCCCGGGCTCCCAGTTCAACCAGTACAACCAGTAAGGGCTGGTAACCACCTCAGCCAGATGCTTGCAATTGATGTTTTTTGAGGATTTTTCTGATCTCCAAAACTGGGGAAACCTCCACCAAAAACCCCAATTCCTGTGAGGTCACCCGAGGGGACCTGGCAGGTGCTGGCAGGGCCAAGGGGACACCAACCAAGGGGACACCAACCAAGGGGACACCAACCTTTCCTCAGGTGCTCCTTCAGCCGGATGAGCTCCCCTTGGGCAGCGAGCTGGTGGATGGACAGCGCTGGAAGGGACAAATCCATCAGGGAAAAGAATTCCCTGCAAATTCTGGGGCGGGAGCTGCCCCAGGGTGGCCCCAGCCCGTCCCCTGCAGCCCCTGGGGACACTGGTGGCACTCACTGTCCAGTGTGGCCGGCAGTGCTGACACCTCGTTGCCTCGCTGTCTGTTGGTCAAGGTGTTGGAATGCTTCAGGGGGAAACCTGGGACAGCACAGAGGGTCTGCAGGTTATTCTTCATTAATTTGGGGTTATTCTCCATTAATTGGGGTTATTCTCCATGAATTTGGGGGTTATTCTCCATTAATTCGGGGTTATTTTCTATTAATTTCTGGTTTATTTTATATCTGTTAATTCTCTATTAGTTTATTCTCCATTTATTTAATTATTTATTTACTCTCCATTAATTTCAGGTTTATTTTCTATATATTTGGGAATCCCAAAGTGTTTCCAGCCCCTGATCCGAGGTTTTATTGGGAAAAAACAGAGAAAATGAGAATTCCCATCTCCAGTTCCAGCGTGGAGCTGCAGCGACCTCTCAGGGCTGGCAGGAGGAGTGGGCACCAAATTTAGGGATTGGGATTTTCCACGTTTGAGCAGCACTTTGAGGCTCATTCTTGGGAATCCCAAAGTGTTTCCAGCCCCTGATTCGAGGGGAATTTCTTTTATTTTTATTGGGAAAAATCCAAGAAAAATGAGGTTTTGAGCAGAGAAGAGCTGGAGCGACCTCTCAGGGCCGGCACGAGGAGCGGGCACCAATTTTTGGGGCTGGGATTGGGATGGGATTTCCCACATCTGAGGCTCCTTGCCGGGATTTCTGGGATGGGAATTCCCAGGGAGGTTCCCCCCTGTGCCCCACTCACCGTCCAGGGCCGGGCCCTCGCTGGGGCTCTGGGAATCCGCGGCAGCAGCCGAGCAGTTCCGGGGGCTCTCGGCTCCACCTGCAGCACCTCGGTGTCACCCGGGGCTCCTCTGGCGTCCC